CCCCAAAACCCCAAAACCCCAAAACCCCAAAACCCCATAGAGCAATAATAAAATTGAATGATTCGTATGGAAAAGGAGAGAAAGAGCTCTAAGATAATTAAGCTAAACAATTACGATGGCAACCCAAAAGGATTCTGGTAAACCTTTCAAGTCCTTATTTCGACACCCAAAAGAGTCTTTAGACTAGGTTTTTGCAATTTTTGATACATTTTGAGTAAATTAGAGTGGAATTTTACTGATGATGGTTAGAATTGCTAGGCGGTCATTGTTTGATATGAGGTATAGTGCCAGGTTTAGCCAGAAGGCTCCTGTTAAGATAAAATAAGATCGATTCAGATAGTATAGTCTCTTTTAAAAAGAAGAAGTAAGATGACAGTTATGCTATATTATAGAAAATTTGATTCAACAAGGCTCGAAAAGATTCCTTTAAAGCCCAGTTTGAACTCTGTTCACTGGAGGTCAAGTATGCAGGACTTAGCAAATACTCACTCTAAGTTTTCACAGTATATGGATGAAGTTCAGTCTCAGATAAAACATTTATCTACTCCAAGGTTTGCCTTAAATTCTGAAAATGACTATGAAAAAAGAATTCACGAGTGATTATAGAAGATCTAAGAACTCAACTTCAAGAAACAAGTTCAAATCTAATAATACCCAAAGAACTCAGAGTAGTCGCTTGATCTTATATCTAGATTTTGATAATGATGTGAAGTTCCGTTTCCAAACGGCTGTATCTCAGTTTAATAATACCCCAAAAAACAAGCCTATGACAGTGAGAAACCAGACTAAGAAAGCTCCTGGTTTTGTTATCAGTCTTGCACCTAGTAATACCATTTTTGACCTATAGACTCTATTACAAGAAGAAGTAACGTGAAATCTGTGTCTATAAGCACTAGCCAAAATGTGTCTCCATCTAGTAGTCTGTTCCTAACAGTTTAGACACTAATGAGAATGTGAAATAAAATGTTTTCTAATATGAACTATATCACACCTCAGATGCCTAGAAGGAAGGATCTGACCGAGAGAGTTCAAGAGACAATATTTCCAGAATGAAACTATTTCGAGAATCGAATGAGTAATTTCTCGATTAAAATTTAGGGAATAAGAAGAAGAGAATCAGAAAAATACTATCTAATATCCGTTCAGACCTTAAATACCGCAGGAATGTGGATATTGAACAATTCTTAGAGCTCAGGAACAGCTCCTCAGAAGTCTTAGAGCCTAAGAATGAGAGTAAATAAAGTAGAACTGACACAGGAGCAAATTGCATTTGGGATAGAGATCCTTCCTGACGGGTCAAAGCAGTTTAAAATGTACGACAAAGTGCTGCTGTCGTTTACGAACCCCTTTGATATCTGACTCATCCCACCTGAAGACAGGACGCCTAACGATAACCTGTACCTAGCACATTACTTGCTGCAGAATGTGAAGTACATCTCAGTGATGAATTTGACCCTGATAGCTTTCATTAGCAGGAAAATTACAGCACAAAGGTACTGAATGAGCCAAAAGATTATTATTAAAGGAGAAATAGGTGACTGTATGTATATACTGTATAAAGGTATTGTTGAGGTCATTATCGAGGGTCGGAAAGGCGAACCCATCCTCATGGAGTCAGGCTCAGTCTTTGGAGAAACCGCCCTCCAGAACGATGTCACAAGGACAGCTACTATTGTAGCCAGGAGTGATGTTGAAGTCATGATTTTGAGTAAATAAAGATTATCTTAATGTCGTCTATGAGAGTAAGAATCTGGAGAGATCTAACAACCTTATATTTCTACTTGGACTGAAATTCTTTAAAGGCTGGACAGGGCCCAAAATTGAAGAGATTAATAAAACCTTCGGGATTCTTGAGTTGAAGCCTCACCAGGTTGTGTACAGAGCTGGAGATTACGCCAATGTATTTTATATAGTCAGAGCTGGAGTTCTACACATGGAATCAGTTGTTGAGGTAGAGAATACCTACAGATATCCAGTAGGCCCTAAGAAATGGGAGTACAAATAAAATCACCAGACGTCTATCCTATCGAGTTAAAGAGCTTAAAAGAGGTGATATGTTTGGCCATGAAGAGATCTTTGATCAGGTTGGAAGAAGAGCTATTATCACATCTTTAGAAGAAAGTGAGCTAATGTACATGAATCTGCCTGAATTCAACAGATTATTTAATAAACAGTTCATAAAAGAGAAGCTATTCTTAGAATTCCCAAGAATCGACCTAGAAAAAGCAAAAGAGATGTTGCTTAAAAATGACATTACAAGGAGGTATAGTAATTTTTCACCATATAGGAAAAACTCAGAGGCGATCTTCAAGGCAATTAACGTGAATTATTCCAGCGCTATCTCTCGTGAGATCTTCCCTGAGGACAGGAAAATCAAAAAACTTAGATTCATCCTCGAAAAAGCCAAGAGGAAGCAATGTTTTTCAAAGGAAGAAAAAGAAGAACATGATAAAATAAAAGTATTAAGTGTGAGAAGCTCAATATCTTAATATTTTAGATATTAATAATTTCTTCCAGTTGTTCTTTACACTGTACCCTCAAGGTCTCATCCCAACCTTGATCCTGCAAACTTTTCAATTTCGTGTATATCGATTCAGGGTATTTAGCGCTAGGTTTAGTGAATTCGGGGAATAACACTAGCTTTGAGAGGTCAATTTTGGAAATCTCTTTGTTTTTCAGTCACACAATAGTGCTTAAGGCCATCTCAACTATCCTACCCATGTTCCCGTTTATGACAGGCGGCTTTTGACCCCAAGATATAGATGAATTCTTCCGCTTAGAGGTCTGTCTTGATGATTGAATAAACCTAGAATCTTAAACAAGAACTACCTCGCATACTGAGCCTTAATTATTGGAAATCAATGCGAATTTTTAATCTTCCTTCGTAATTTCCGAACCGAGCTGCTTAATTTCTGGACTTTGCCCTTGTGAATAAACCAGTTGTTCCGATTGCTTATAGCATGGAAGACAGATCTGTACCCAGTTTTGCCAAAATCTTGTGAAGCAGCTATAGAAGTTATTAAGCACACTTTCTTGGAATATGGCAAAAATATAGCTTACATGGTTTGTAATTTTTATTTGTAAATTCTTAGTCTTTGCCTTCTTGACGAAAATGAGGCTCTTTCTCTGAGGATCTTTTTGGGAGTTTCCTCTAAGCCAACTTTTTCCTCTCGGATTTTATTCAGAGTCTGATCGTTCCTACTTGGGTTGAATAGGTCGACTACTGGAACTTTGGAAGAACCAGATGGGCTTATCCTGGGGCTATTAGCAACGCTTGATTGGTTGCTGCTCACAGGAGGATTCTCAAAAGAAACTTTATTTGATAGTAAAATTCTTAGAGTTCTTCTTATTTTTGAGCCTTGCTGCTAGTCTGCCAACCTTGGACTTTCTCTTGCTGCTTTTTCTCTTGCTAAAAAGATGGTAAGCTAAGAAAGGAATGTAAAAATCGAGGGATTACCGTCTGTGGATATCTCTTGAGGTATCCTTGATTTGTTTACATTCTTCGACAGTTTTGTTAACATGTTCAGCTTTAGGATACTTGTTGATAACATCCAGGAATACGCTCCATCCCTTGTTTTTATTTATTTATCACTACATGGTTGGTTGTAAGTTTGGATAGAAAAGGCATAACAGGAAATGAGGAACAGGTTGACAAAGAATTTCTCACTCATATTTCAGCGATTCTTTATACCCAAAATCGTGCTCTGAAGGCTTCAGTAGATTTCCTAAATTCTCTGATAGATCTAGTGTGTCGTAGTTAACCCTATTCACTGGTCTCAAGTCTATAATTTAAATTTTCACCTGAAGACATTTAATACTTGTGGTTGCTTGGGAACCAAATTGGTTGGGGAAATAAATTTTAGTGACAAAGCTCATTGCCTACCTTTATTCTTAATATATACCACTGCAGTGCGGTTTTTCATAGCTATAAAAATCTCTCAAAATGACTTACACATGTTTAAGTCGAGAGAATTCAGAGATTTCTTCGATTTCCTAACTGAGGATTTCTTTCTTTTGGTAGGGAAATTAGTGAGATTCCGTTCAAAATTTGCTAGACTTGAGGTGAGATCAATCTCTTTGGAGAATGACAGTTTTGACTTTACCTTGAGCAGTGAGCTCCATTCTATTTTTAATAATATTTTAGGGGTTTTGGGGTTTTGGGGTTTTGGGGTTTTGGGG